GTCATTTTTTGGAATATTTCCCCCTATGATTCTTGATCTTGCTTCCATGTTCTGCATTGTGTTGCTTTTGTACATACCGGTACAGTTGGCCTGGCCTTCATGATCGATCGATCGATCGATCGAGGTAGATAGATAGATTTTGGTGTGGATTTGAGATCTGCTACTGTAATAACTGCAGCGGTTGTCGTTGTGTCTCCAATACTGGTAGCAAAAGATCATCACTACTAGTAGTCGGAGAAGCAGTATCTACTGGACTTGCAGTTGCTGTATCAGTGAGCTGCTGTTCCATGACTGCTTGCAAGCGTTCGGTGAATATGTAGTGAATAAAGTCTTGTACGGACTGTTCCACTAGATGCTGTGGTATTTTGTGGAGTAGTTTTTGAAAGGTTGGATTGCTCTTGTCCACCGTCCAATGGTGATCGTCAAAATCGACCAGGTCAATAATATGGGGCTGGTGCAGGTTTGGCCCTCCTTGTAGTGACAGTGTGGCTGTGACAACCGCATTTTCCACCGTGACACTGCCGTAGCTAGTAAAGTCCACATCAGCTCGAGCCCGCCTTTGGTTGCAAACCTTGCCGTTTAGTTGTGCCGTCATGTCAGCTTGAAAGGAATGCAGTACCAGCTGAATCTTCCACAGGTTATTACCAGCAGTAGTAGTAGCTAGCAGACCTCCTGATCTTTGCTCCTGCTGCACCGGTTGTACTTGAATAGTAATGCCTGGCTTTCCTGTAGAGTTGGTAGTAGCTTGGGTTGCAGACTGCGCAACTTGTGGGGACGGCGTTGCAGATTCCAATCCCCTCAGACGGGTCAATTTGTACCCCAAGCTGCACTGCACGTGACACGCTTTCCCGTCTTCCACCAACCTGCTAGTAGGTGCTTTCTCATAGCTAGCACTATTACCAGTAGCAGAAGTCACATTGACATCCAGAGACGAGTGGTACAGAATTCCTCCTTGTTGCAAGTCCGTGGCAAAGGCAGCAGGAATCCGTTGGGCTTTCAAATGGAGATATCGGTCGAACAAACGGCGTCTCTTGAGTTTCTCGCTTTGGCTCAGCCGGAGTCTTGGAGCTTGATAAGCTTGATAATGGTTGTCAGAATAAGAGGAAGACTGAACAGACCAACTGGAACACACGAGCAGTACCACACTCAGTAGAGATACCCGTAAGGTACTCATCGTCTTGTGGTTTGAACCTCCTTAGCTCCTTAGATAATACTAGTTGTAGTATACCCTTATACCCCTCACAAATTCCAGAACAAGGGGTATCCAGCACAGCTGCGGAGAGCTGCTAGTACCGTAGCTGCTACAGTAGCTAGGAAGCAACCAACACCAAACTAACTCTTCCTATCCACACTGATAACACAACCGCACTGACTGCAATGTGCCTTCAAAACAACAACACCAACAGTGAACCACTTCTTTTACATGTAGAAGCTACTAGTACCTTGTGCCCATGTAGCACCAATGCAGCTTTCTGAGGTTTGTTTCTTGATGGCAAAATTATGGTCTTTCCTTCTTTTGCTTGGATGAGTGTCGGCCAATAGCATTCAAATTGTGAGACGCCAGTCACTCACTCTTTCGGATTCCCACAAACAGAAAACTACTTATACCCATTAAGAACAACTCCGTAGAAACGTTACCGCTTCTCCACTTGCCCAATGGGACGGCACTGCAAGCAGCTACAACGACAGCACTGTTTCAGATGCTCCCAAGACACACTGATTATGGCCTCAGCCACTCACAACATGATGTCAAATCAAACGTCTAAGCCATCATCTATGCCCTCACAACGTTCATTCGCGCAATCAAATACAGTACACTTTTGGATACTAAAGCTGACAAAAATGGCTGCTGTTGGTCCATTGCCATTCCTGCTTTTGTTCTCAAACCTAAATATCGCGGATAGTACACGCAGATGTTTAACCCGTTCGACCTGGACATACCACAAGTTCCAAATCCCAGCTGTCACACGTCACACATTCAGCATTGTCACATACATATCCCAGTGTGAAAGGAACTGAGCCCATAAATCTAATCTGGATAGAAGAATGCTCGAAACATCACTTTTCCTCGGGGATGAAATACAGCTTGGATTTCACATCAATTGGCTGCAAACAAAACATCATCACATTAAACGGTTGCATGAATACAATGAGTTGACAATTGTTAGCTTGTTTACTCAGAAAGCGTCCGGTGTCTTTTTGGCGGGCACGATTAGAATCGGCTTTTACCTTCTAAGAAACCAAGAGCTTTAAATGCTCCATTCCAAAGCATCTCACAAGTACTCTTGAAATACACGCGTCCACCTATACCTCATACATTCCACGCATTCATAATGGCCTGGACTGGCTTATTTTCCCATTGATCATTGATACAGTCCTGCTGGCCACTGTAGGCGGTACTGGCCCTCGGAAGGCACTGCAGCTACATGTACATGTACCGCACAAGCACCATGGCGGTGGTACCACCAGGTACCAGTACCACCTCTGAGACTGGTGCCGACCAGACAACATGGGCGGAAGTGAGTAAGTTAGAAAAAGGACGTGGCAGCTACTAGTAGTCTACGGGCAAGATGATGATACGGTAGCTATGATGATCCAGTCTAGTAGCACTAGTCTACAAAAACCTATCAAGCACCACACTAAGATCGATCTTGGTCAAGAGCCAGTGGAGCTTACCCTTGATCCTTGATTCTTGATACTTGATAGAACCAGAATTTACAGCCGCTTCTTGTAGAACTCGCTCGAAGCAGAATGCTACAAGTTGAATGACCCAGCCAGTGTAACCAAGAGCTGATTGAATTCAGGTGCTTTCTACGTATCTACACCTATTAATAGTAGCTAGCTGCATTACCAATCTGAAGAGCATCGCAGTGTACTGTACCGGTACTAGTAGCTCCTGTACTACATGTATGGGTCTGGGTGAGATTGATCCATTATTGGCTCGTCTAGGAGGCTTGGAATGGCGGCTTCGGAAAAGTGTAGTTTTGGCTCGATAGGGTTCGGAATGTACTAAATGCCTAGTTTGCAGAGCGGTTTGCAGACCCTGGCTCCCGCAACCACTGGGAGTGTTCCGTCCTTTGGTTGAGCTCACGTTGAACTATTACTTCCATATTTCAGCATTACTACAGAAGAGGCCGAGGCTTCGCTCTGTGGTAGTAGGTAGATCGTCCAATCCATTCAATGTGTTTGCTAGGCTGGCATCTTCTTCAAAAGGACTAACAAAAAAATGCTGCGCCAAAGCAACCTACCTACCGGTACAACTCTGTGTAGCTATTGCTTCCTGCAAAACGAATCTTTGGCGAAGGTGAGGCAGCACTGTTACAGTAACTTCAGGATAGATTCCTATGTTTCCCGTCATAGAGCAATGCTTCTTGAATGATGTAATAATCCATCAACATTCATGAAGATCCCTCACAGCAGATCTTTAGCTTTCGTCAACGCCGTAGACCGAGACTCAAAAAGCTACATGTACTGTAGCGGTACTACATCCCTGATCGCTGAACCAAGCTTCATCAACTGAGTCTTCGACATTACGGAGGAGAAAAAAGTGCCGATTCTCTGCCTCTCCCTTACGGAACAGTACTTAAAGGGTCTGTCATAATGACTTTGCTTGTTCAACCGGTTCTCTACTAACGTGGCAGCATCCAGTAACTGTAGAAAGTGGAAAAGCATTCCCGTATCTAGATATGGAACTGTTCTGGTCGGACCAGGAAGAACTTCACTTCCGAGTCCACCTTAAACCGAACCAACAACTGAAATATCTAAACAGAGGAACTACCCACACAAACGCATGCCTCAAAAACATCCCACTAGGGGTGTTCCAAAGACTCGCCAAACTCACTACAGTTACCGACAAGAATGCCAACCAAACCCTCGATGAAATCTACCCACTACACATCGAGGCGCTGGAGAAAGCTGGACTGGTTCCAGACGAGATACCAACACTACAAGAAGAAATACAACGATACTCCCAGCGACAAGAGGGCAAAGCAAACGAACCAGATAGAGATGCCAAACAACGAAAGAGGAACCGGAACCGATCATTATTCTTCTGTATAGGACACTCCAACGCCTGGACGACCCCAATACACAAGGTAATCAACGACCTCAAGAAGAGCCATGGCCTCGAATGGATTAGAACGTCTATGTCCTACCATCGATTCACCAACCTGCGAGAGATGTTCATGGGCGACCTATCGAGGAAGCTCACCAAAGACATCATATCCACTGAGTTCCAAAATGAAACTTGCAACTGCAAGCCGGGAAACAAGAAAGACGGCCAATGCCGATTTGACGACCGCTGCAGAAATAAACTGGTTATATACTGCATCAAATGCATTAACTCGGGCAAAGAATACGTTGGGGCAACCCAACGAAATGTCAAAGAACGAACATACCAACACTTCACCGACGTCATGCGTCTCCTCTACGGAAAACGCAAGTCAGATTCATACGCAAGACACTTCGCCAATGAATTCCAAAACTTCGCATCTCCTTCACCATTCCGACTCAACGGCGATATTCAAAGGAACAGCATCGAAATTAGCATCCTATGGCAAGGCAACCCCATCAGCACTGTCAAGACCTTCGGGACACTACACTGCAGCCTATGCAACAGGGAGCGACTCGAGATACTGAAACGATCCAGAGAATCGCCAGAAAACCTGATCAACTCCTGCAACGAAATATACGGAGCATGCCGACATAAACCTCGATTTCATAAGTACCACAATAGCCCAAGCACTGATGATTCCCAAGGGGGGTGAAAAAGTCAAACAACCGAAAAGTTACCACAGAGTAAAGCCTGTGTTTTGGCGATTCGGCAGTTTGTGCTGATCAAGAGTAAAACTACTTAATTCAGTCACTTTTTGCTAAAATCGTATGATCCAGGTTAATTCTGGTATTGAAGCAAAACGACATTAGCGTAAAAAGTGAATGACTGCACAGAAATCATGAATCCTCCAAGTAAAAGTACCATTCATTTATTTTATTCTTTGCAACTTGAAAGAGCTCTTGAAAGTTGTCTTGAAAGCTTTGGTCAAGTCTAAGTGTGAAAGTGACAGTGTGTAACCTAACCATGACGATGGATCATGATTTGGAGCAGAGTGTGGGTGATGGCAACTCCACCAGCCACGGCAATACTAATACTAATACTAATGCAAGTAATGCAAGTGGTGCCATGGAGAATGAAGAAAAACGGCTGCGCGATCAGACGAGTCGCAATTTAGCCAAGAAGGAGAATCAAGCGGTTTTCATGTTGAGAATTCTGGTCATGCTCTTGCTGCTCACTGTCACCTCTGTGGTCTTGGTGGGAGTCTACCTGTATTCTACGGGAGCTGAGCAGAAAGACTTTGAAGAAGGATTTGAAATCCATGCTGCGCAACTGGCAGAGTCTATGGGAAATTCAGTGGAACGCAAGTTGGTGGCATTCGGGTCTTTGGCTACTGCTTTGACTAGCTATGCCAAGGCCACTGGAGCGCAGTTTCCCTTTGTCACTCTACCCGATTTTGCAGAAAGAGTCTCTGAAACTAGGGTTCTCGGTAAGTCAAGTCATTGGACATGACTCTAACTCTAACCCTATCTTGACTGTCCTGTCATTGCTTTTGCTAACCATGTCTTGATCTTATATCATCATTATAGGTGACATCCCATCTGTCCTCTGGATGCCCTTGATCACCGATGCAAAACGACCTGCATGGGAAGACTATGCTTTCGCCAATAGAGGAGCAGTCACCCAAAACTTTGAAAAGGATAATCTTCTCAGGCAAGAACAGGACAACTACTTTCAACAGATTGCAAATGCTAATACCAATGGCATGAACCGCCAGCTACAGCAAGAAGAGCAAGAGGTGGATCCAAACATCATACAGGAAGGAGGTGGCTACATTTATCATCTCAGGATCTACAATCCCATGGGCGGTTTGGTGGAACCCAATGGAACTGGACCCTACCTTCCTGGATGGCAGGGATCACCTGTCGGTCGCTACCGTGGAGGCATGATCAACTTCAACTGGGACAACGCATTGGCATTCAAAGGGGCAGACCTGGCCAAAACCTTGCTGCAAGAACAGGAACCAAAAGTCATACACCATGCAATGGCTGTCCCTCAGCCACAGTTCAGGGCGGGGGTCACTGACTTTCTCGAACGCAGTCAATATCGAAACAGATTGACCAACTACGTAGAGGACCCACTGGCGTTTGTCACCTACCCCGTCTTTGATACGCTCAACTCCACCACACGCAACCCGGTCGGGATACTCGCTGCAAACACATACTTGAGAGTGTACTTTCAAGGTGTACTACCCTCCAGGGCAAAAGGCATCATTTGTGTATTGTCCAACACGTACAACCAGACTGTTTCCTATCTCGTCAATGGACAAAATGCTACATTCCTAGGTACAGAAGACGTTCATGATCCAAAGTATGACCATATGGAAGTGGCACTGGACGTCACCACCTTTGTCAAAATGAGATCCAGTGCCGAAACAAGGGCATACTTGACTGTGCCACTGCACGACACCATTGGACGATACTACCTCAAGGTTTATCCCACCGATGAAACCAAAGCCGAATACACTACCAACAATCCCATCCTGTACACTGTCATTGTGGGATTGATCTTTGTACTCACCGCACTGGTCTTTGTCATCTTTGATATGTGGGTCGAGAAGAGGCAGAATGTGGTCATGAAACGAGCTGTGGAATCAGGAGCCATTGTCAACTCACTCTTCCCAGAGCAAGTACAGGCACGACTCTACGAAGACAAACCCCAAGAAAAAACACAAGGCAACGGCAAATGGAAGGCAAAGGACAACCAAGACCATGGACTTGACGCTGTCGATACCGAGAAGACGGGCAAACAGCTGAACCGAGGCAGTCAGATTGCAGATGAATACGAGAACTGCACTGTACTCTTTAGCGATTTGGCAGGCTTCACTGCTTGGTGAGTACACCAGTATGCCATCCTTTTGCCGGGCAAGCATCGCGTGTTCTGTTCCACTCACTCACTCACTCACTCGCCCTTGGTTGCATCTCTTGCCAGGTCCTCGGCTCGCACCCCGTCGGAAGTCTTCGAGTTGCTAGAGACTCTGTTTAATGCCATCGATGCCATTGCACTCCGGCGCAAGATCTTCAAGGGTGCGTTCCATTAATTAAGGTGCCCAGAGGACAACCTAATCGGACTTTTTTTGCTGGCTCACACATCGTCTCTTTGTTCTAACCATCTCCCATCTATAGTGGAAACCATTGGTGATTGTTGGCTAGGGGTTTGCGGCTTACCAGAACCCAACCCGAAGCATGCTGTGGCCATGGCAAGGTTTGCAGACGACAGTAGGAGGAAGGCGCAAGAAATCTTCACGTCTCTGACGGATCATCTTGGGCCAGACACTGCCACACTCCAGTTGAGAACTGGCTTGCACAGTGGTTCGGGTAAGCTAGCTTGGCTTTCGTCGCTTAATTGGCAGTCTGTCCTGCCATCATCCGAGCTGCATGGTACTCATTGTCATGCTATTGCTTTTGGTTTCGCCTCTCTTCTTCTCCAGTAACTGCTGGGGTGCTACGAGGACAGAAATCTCGCTTCCAGCTCTTTGGTGATACGGGTATGTCTTTCGTTTTTTTTTTCGCTTTGAGTAGTTCTCTTCTCTTGTTCACACCACTCACTGATGTCCACAATACTTCATCTAGTCAACACTGCCAGCAGGATGGAATCGAAGGGCGAAGCAAGTCGTATTCACGCATCGAAAACAACGGCGGATGCACTCATCGCCCAAGGAAAGGGGCACTGGCTCAAAGCTCGAGAGGACAAGATTGTGGCCAAGGGCAAAGGGGAGATGCAAACGTACGTTTAGCTTTGGATTGCTTTGTTGTTGCTTATTGCAGACAAGCTAACTTTTTGTGCTTGGCTGGTGGTACGTGTTGAACAGGTATTGGATTGACCCAAGCCAGGACGTGACATCTTATGCTCCATCAACCCATCTCAGTGTCGACGACACTCGGAGCGAGGACAATGAGGCACATAACCACCAAGCCAATGAGACACAGAGCCAGGCCCACGAGACACAGAGCCAGGCCTGGACCGTTTGTGAAGTGTGATTCCGCTCCTTGGCTGCTTTTCCCATGAAGCACTTCTCGCCAGTTGATTCGGGATTCAGCCTTTGTGACGCTGCAGCTCTCGGGCCTTTGACAACACATCCAACCAGCTCGTCGATTACATAATTTCTCTAGTGAAAATGTTCTGTTGTCGATCAATGTCTTGCCTGGCGACGATATATCCAGTGGTAAGGCTTGCAAGGACGCTGATTGCAAATGCTCGCCACGTGCAACGGCTGTTTCTTGACCTTCCGGTGCCTGGTTCTGGCTCCTCTCATCGATACTAGCTAGTACTCCTGCTTGAGGAGGGAGGGTGCTTTGTACATGTATCAAACTCAGCAAGCACAGATGGAGACGGAGCTGCAGAGAGCCACGTAACAATAGCAGTCGTCGCCATTGCCTGACACAGTATGACTCAACTCCATGCACTGTACGTGCGGCTAGCTTAGCAGCTGTCGCCGCGACCACCATTCTACGTTGTAGGACTTTGATGCATGACTATGTTGTAATGACACGTATCTATTTTATGGATTCAAACCGCACAGGTAATGGTCTAAACGACAGCCACCATCGCTATAATCAATGCCGAATCAAGATTGATGCGACGGTGACTGCCTGCCTGGCTGGCTGACTGGAGGTGAGAACTGGCGATTGAGAAGAAGAATAACTTTCATGATTTCATTCGAGACAATGATTGATTGATTGGTTGGTGATTGCAAGATGGTGGAGTCTTGTTACAAACGATAGATAGATGGATGTGATTGTGTTGTGAGGAATGCGATGTAATGTAGTAAAACGTGAGGTGATGCTGTGGAGGGTGATGCACTCAGATTCATTGCCCTGCTCTATTCTTGTGAACGTTTGCTGGTCCATTGCTACGCCGCCCGCTTCTGGTTGAGCTGTATGTAATCGAGCAGAAGCAAGGATGTTAGAACAAACATCTTGCTCTACGGTACACATGCAGTCACACGTTCAACCTGCCCACGTTACGTTACAAGTCACAAACCTTACCCTTCTTGTATGATACGGTAGTTTCATGCTTTGGCGTTTCAAATCGCATGCATAGCTACCACCACGATCCACTGGATTGAATGGACTTGTGACGGGACGGTTTCCTTCGTCGTCGCCGTCCCTGTTTGGATTGTTTCTCCGACCGTGACGATTGATTGTCCAGATGCTGCTGCCGGTCGGACAAATCGTGCGGCGTGCAGGACGCTGCAGCACCAAACTCATCAAACTCAATAATGAATGCTCGTCGATGATGAGAAGAACCTCCTCGCGACGACGACGCGACGGACGTGGCACCGGAGGATCGTTTCTTGGACGACTTGAACATGCGCTTGACGGCCCCAACAATGCCGCTTTTCTTTTTGGCACTACGACGCCCATGACTTTCCTCGTCGTCGTCGTCATTTTCTTCAATGACAAAGTCGACGCCATGTTCCTTGTTGACAAAACCAGCACTGTCCACGTATCCTTGTGAAGCCCTTTGACCGTTGCTTCTACGAGACCTACTACATGTACCACCAGCACCACCGGAAACGGAACTGAGATGAACGACTTGCACCTCTTCACCACGATGGGCTGCCGACGCCACCAGATTCTGAATGTCCGTGCCCTCGCGAAGTTCCCTGGAGGATGTGTAGACAATCTCTTGACTGTTGTTATTGTTGTTGTTGCCACCCGTACTCCGGCTTCGACGCGGTTGTTGATTCCCTTTCGTGGAATGGCTGTTCCGCTTTCCTTGTTTGTTTCGCGGTGGTGTTGCAGGAGCGTGTATTCCTAGCTCCATGGCCCGCTGATGTACTTGTGCTTGCTGTAGTTGTTTGCCACTACTGGAAGAGTTCGCCTGGTTATTTCGAAAGCTCATGCGTTTGGAAAGTGTCTGATTGAGCGGGATATCCATTTGTAGCTGACGTTCCGAGCTTGTCCTTGGCTGGTACTGGTGCTGCTGCTGCTGTGGGGAGACTCGATTCTTTGGTTTGGTGTTGGCGACGGGCGTTGTTTTATGGACCACCACGATTTCACGAAAGGGAAGCTCGTTCCTTTTGTTGGATGGACTACGAAGCCTATCTTGTGGTTGCGCTTGTGGTTGGTCACCTTCGTCACCGTCTTCCTCGAATGCACATCGTTTGTACGCGTCGACTTCTTCGGGAGTGATTTCGAGTGGATCGTCCGTCTTTGTTTTCTTTTCGGTGTGTGTTCCGTCCTTGCTGGTGCCTTCAGCCGTGGTGACCGTGGCACTGGCCGTGTCTACGACCAGGGATTTGTAGTGCTTGTGTTTGTGTTCGTGCTTGTTGGAAGGGTAGGAAGCTTTGGTACTAGTAGATGGTGCTGTCTTGGTTTGCTTGGCACTGTTCTTGTAGGCATTGACTTCCTCAGTTGTGATAGTCATGGTATGGCTTGTCTTCTTGAAGGTGGTCTGGGGAGCTTGAATGGGCCGGTCTCCGCCTGTGTCTCGAGAGTTCTTGGAGGTGTCTTGGTTCCGGTAGGTATTCGAGCGGGCAGAGGTACTGGTACTACGTGTACTAGTAGTGATATCTAGAGCTGTACTGGAAGTGTTGAACTCCTGACTGGTGGCAAGCGAATGCCTGGCTGACTTGGCTCTCCGAATGGCAGTGGTGGGATTGTAGGGCTTGCTAGATCTACTTGTAGTTGTACCGGTATTGGTAGTTGTATTGGTAGTGTTGGCATTGGTGCTAGTAGTGTTGGTGGCTGTACATGTAGTGGCAGGCCTTGGGTTGGGTTTACTCGTCGCCTCGGTCCGTCGAGTAATAGCTGTTTTGCTGGCTTGTTTCGATTTGGGTGTATCAATGGGTTTAGGGTTAGAGAGATATTTCTTGGATGGAGTTTCGTGGTCGACGCTTTTCTTCTTGCTTGTCTTGACAGTACTAGTAGGAGTGGCTGTAGTACTGACAGTAGTAGAAGTCAACGGTGAGCTCTGGGCAACACAAGCGCCATGGTCAACATCTTTCAGTCTACGGGTACAGGCGTCAGCCGTAGCGCCGGTAGGATTTCTACCTACAAGCCGCAGTAGGTTGGCATTGTTCTCGGCTCGAAAGTCCCAGTCGCTTGGCGTAGCGCCGCTAGTACATCTGGTACTGGTAGTACCAGTACCAGTACTAGTAGTATTCATGGCGCTCATTTCCACGTTCAGATTCATCACCTCTTATTAGCCACTCGATCATTCATTCAATCAGCAATGATGTTGATAGCAATGGCAATGGAGGCAAGAGCAACAAGCAAAAGGAATGAAGGAAGGAAAGATGAGCCAAATCCATATCCAAGTCTAACGTCGAGAAAAAGTGGGACTGTGGAAGAAGGAGACTTTACTATAAACCAAAGTGTACTGAACGGTCCACTGACACATAAATCCCAAAATGTAGCGTCATTGCTTGCCTGTTTAAAGAAGCTGAAACACATACATGACTCGGGAACCAAATCTACTGTTCAAGAGATATGCCTTGCTCCATTCACGGATTATTCCTAAAAGCTCCAGCCACAAAGAACACGAACTTTAAGTCCATACTGGTTACCCAATCACGAGCATAGACTCAACTTCCTAGCTGATGGTGCGTTTGAAAGTGTGTATCTAAGTGTCCGATACACTCCACAAGACTTACTAGATCTCGTCGGGCTATTCCGATTGTTCCTATTTTTTCAGAAGTCACGAGCGTTGAACGTTGAAGCGACCGGTATCGTGGGGGGCTTACATCCGTACATCATGTCATCAGCCTACTTGGCCACCTGTCAACCTAACAGTGGCGCCATCAGAAGGGGATCGGGAGCCATTATTGCGATACTACTAGTAAGTTGTAGACAAGAAATACATGTGGGTAGCAGCGCCATTGCCTTGCCACAAGGGCTTTTGCAAACGTTACTTCCGCCTTGCGTTTGGCTGGATGTCCAGCGTGTGGGCCATGATCTTGACTACCTATGTCTAGTTCCGACACATACGCTAGACTAGACTACTGTAGCCACATAACACTAACTCACGCAGCAAAGGTATTACCGCGGTACATATTATGAGAACTAGTCTGGTACATCCTTGTAGATCTAGCTAGTAGACTAGCTAGTAGTAGTCTAGCTTGTAGCAGCTTTGGCATTGGCTTTGGGCAGTGCTGGTGGGAATGAGACGTCACCCGCACATGCATTCTCGCAGACGCACGATCAAGGAGGGCAACATACCAGTCTACATGCAGGAACATGCACATGGGTGGGTTTTCGACTCCGAAGATCCACCCAGACAAGGTGATCAGACTTGTGTTCTGGTTCTGGTGTGGTCCTTGGCTTCACTCTCCTTCAACTTGACTGGACTGACGGTCACTCGACTCCACTCCACTCTACAGTAGCTAGAGTAGCTACACCAGCCAGTGGGCATCCATGATACCATGATGCGATGGCCGAATCTGCAACAGTATTGCGACGCACAAGAGCTCGCACAAGGCATCTGAGGGATCCAGGCTGCCATCACATCATCCATTTCCTTGCTTCAAGGCTTCAAGGCACCATTGTGCGGGATTTCATTGCCTCCAGGAAAGAAACCCAAGCCATTGGAGTGCGTAGTAGAAACTGACAGGAAACTGACCTTTGCGTAGACAAGCATACAACGTTCAACTCCTCTCGTATTAGTTTAATGCCCGAGTTTCAAAATGAAACAATATTGATTTCAGGGATTTAATAAGTATCTTATCGATACTGCGTATTAATAATAATATAACCGTTTTGCGCAAGCTCTAATTGTGACTGCATCTTGCTTCTTCTTTAACGCTTTATTAATAGAGAGCTTGAAAGTGTATCACAACGAGAGACAGTTAAATCCAATAGTCATAAATATTGCTGTGACGTCAAAAGCAGAGCCATTCTGAAACAAAAGAGTTAATAAATACTACTTTTCAAAATCCGTGCGTATAAACTAGCTTTTGTCTAGTACTTCTTGCGTTGCAATGCGTGAACAGTTCAATAATTGCGTAGAACTTTCGTAGATTGCAGCGTTTTGCCCCCCCTGGTTGCTTCAGATTTGAGGCATTCCTGGAGGTTTGAACGCACAGTACAGCCATCCCTTCCTTGGCATAGCTGCAGTGATGTTGTGACCAGCGGGGGAGGCTCTGGGTTCGTCTCTTTCGACCACTTTTGGCCGCCGTTTTGTAGCAAAAATTACAGTGCTCATGGCTCACTCACTCGGACCGTGCTGTCTTGCATCTAGTCGCCCATCGGTGACGTTCAAGGCCACAAAAAGGGCACGATTTGACTTCGTGGGGGTAGCAGTCGTTATGGTGATCGGGGTTCTTGAAGTTCGGGCCAATGCACTCTGCAGAGCGCCCTTTCCTGCGACACAGACAAACTGTGCCCCAATGAATGCCCTTCATAGCCTTTGCCGTCCCCACCTTGGTGGCAGTAGACCTGACGTCAAATCGCAGCAGCCTTCGCAAACCTCTTTCAAATAGACAAGTTGGATGGAATGATTCCATCTCATAGTCCATCAACCGTGAGGGTTGCGCCGGTTTGGATTCGAACGAAGCGGTTGCAGGCCATCACAACGACTTGAGTTGCCTCCTTTTAAATCGGTACGAGGGTCCGAACGAGGTGAGACGAAAGATCTTCCTGCGTCAATCACCCTCCGTGCACTGTAGACTCGATCGAGTAAGGTCGCCATTCTCCCACGAATCTTCGTCCTCGCGATGCACATTGCTTTCATTCACTCCTAGCGTTGCTTCTGCCTGAACTCAAAAGTTAGCACATTCGTGGTACAGATGCAACTTCACAGCTGCGATTTCTTTGGGGCTGATGCACCTTTGAGACTACCGTATGACTGTAACTCGAATGGAATTGTATGGATGATGCTCTTTGCTATTGATCTCCCAGTCCTTGAAGCGATTGGAACATTCGAGATGAATTCATGCAAACTCAATTTTTCAGCAAATTTGGGCGGCCGTCGTCATTTCGGTCTTCTATTAAATTTTGGGTCTCGATAGAGGAACGTTCGCTTCCCTATGAATGTTTATTCAATCTCTGTCGTCCTCTTGCCTGCGTGGCTGCATAGCCTCACCTTCATTCGGCATCCATATATGATGTTGCTTTGTTTTGACTGGCTGCAATGCCCCTAGCAGGACATCGCATTTTGTACGTAGTGGCATCGGTATCGTGGACTCTCCTGTTTGTTGCCTTGTGCGTGCATCATGGACTGAAACTGCCCTTTTGAGTTCGTTGTGTAACGAAATGGGAACGTGCAAGGGGGTACGGCAGATTGGACATTCAACGATGCCTATTTGACAGTTATCAATTCATGCATACAAATCTTCTTTTCACTATGCAGGTTGTTGCATGGCATCCATTCCTCGGCCCACTTCATTCGTTCCTACGCCCATTTTTGTTTCAGCTCTCGAAAGAAACGTCCTGTCTATTCAGTGGCCAGCTACGTAGCCTCTGCGTGACATGGCTGACTAAGAACGGAACCTTCGTTTCATCCATTCCTTTCCTGGAAACTGATTGGTTTGTCTCTCTAGAGCGTACAGGTATTCTCGACAGTCACCTCTGCGTCGTTTTGCTAGCAATGTATAGTCGCCCCTCTGTCCAATGGACGTCGCCTGTATCCGCTTTGACTTGTTGCCCAATGGTCCAATTGTGTGTTGCGTTGTAGGGATAAGGGTCTCCTCGATCCCCCTGTATGCATTCGCCTGCTTTCTGCCTTGTGTATTTGATACTGGTGGCATTGAACATGCCGTAATGCTTCCCTTCCGTGTGCCTGTCATCTTTCCAAAGGAACGCCTTTCCGTAGCCAATCTTGAGTGCTTCGGGACCAGTTGTCTGTACCAGCCTGGGTGCTTCAATTTGTGGCAAATCCAAGAGACGCTTGAGGATTTCATGAATGGTAAAGTATGTCGCGGGATGTCCTGTCGGTATCAGTTCAGCAGCCGAGAAATGAGATACGGGTTCGTACTGAATGATACTGGAAAGAGAGATGGATGCCACTCGATCGAAAGCGCTGGAGTGCACTTACCTGGTGATGCGGCAAAGCACCATTGGGAAGGCCTGTTCCAGTCATCACTAAAGGAGAAGAAATCAGCTTCAGGTACAATCAGCTGTTCTGAAAAGTTGTTTGTAGGAATGGCATCCATGTCGGCATAGATTCCACCTGAGCAATACAGTGCAAGCAAGCACAGATTCGAAATTCAATAATAGTCGTCGTGGGCATGTACCGTATGTGAGACACGCAACAGACGTGCAGGCAAACGTGTCGTAAAATCTTTTGCTGAACTTACCAAACTGGTAGAGAACCAGAGCTCTCCAGATATCAATGAGCATGGCATTGCGCATCTTGACGCAGTTCAAAACTCGAGTCAACTCGGGAAATGCCGGCCAGTTGGTTTGGTTCATGAGTTTTGCCACCATGTAGTCATCGTGCAAGACCACGCTGTAGTTGGGCATTGCCTTTTTCCACTTGTCCACCGCACGAGCTTGAAGGTGATGAAGACATCGGCCTCTGTTTGGATTGTTGGGACCTCCTTCCGGATTGTCATGAATCCATGCGAGGTGAACGACTCGTGGGATTTTTCGTGTTTGGCTCTCGTACGCCCAAAGATCGAATTTTGCCTCGTCATTGTCGTCGCTGTCCTTGGCGGTGCTCGTGGACCCCATCATGATTCGATCTTCCACCAATACAAAAGGCCAAGTACAGTTGTGATGATCTTGGTGGTTTCGTGCGCTCTCCCTGGAAAGTTCGAGGAGACTGAGGCCTGAAGTCGTGGTTTTGTCTCCTGCGTCAAGTTGGTCAAACTCGTCTTTTGTCTGCATAAAGTTGTTGTTTATCGACGACGACAAGGTTGTCATGAACGATGTCGAAACATTACGAACATCAACCTCCGCCAATGCATTCATCAATCCCGACATGGATAGATTCCTGCTGCTCTTGAAAAACACGTCGCTAACGAGCTGTTGCGCGACTAGAACGCAGCTGGTCAGAAGAAACGTACTGAGAAAGACCGACTTGTTTCTTCCGCCATTGCTACTACTAACGTTACCAGTACGACCCTTGGTGCCTCTGGTGCCATTGTTGTGATTCGACATGGTCATATGCAGTGCCATCTACACCAAATATATGCAAACCTTGGGATCTGTTATTGCAAGTAACACAGATCAAGGAACAATCTTTCAAAAATGTTTTTAACAGGAAGGTGCACAGCGCACCTCCTGAAATCCCGCAGGCTTGCGTCCCTTTGCACATTCGAATCGAATTGAATCATTCGATTCAATCGAAAAATTCGATTGAATCAGGAGCCAGGAGGCAAAAATTAATAGGACAAATAAATAAGACTGGCAACCGCAATTTGATTTTTTGTAGCCACTTAGTTAGAGGGCTCGCCGACTGATATGTATGTGACTATGTGACAGACAGTTATTTGCGGAGGTGAGTAGATGCGGTAAAGCTTTAGAATTATTGCTTTTAAAGCAAAACCTATTATTTACCTCAGCTACCACATTAGAGAAAATATACAAATACTCAGAGTATTACATGTAGATGGGGTCGCTGGCACACCGGTACGTATGCGTAGAGAGAAGAGGCCGGTGTGCGGGCTCTCTACTCCGTTTACTGTATGTAGCGTACCGCCACCGCGCCTCACTTTTTTATTTATTCATTTGTGCAAGAAACGTGGAGACCATGACAAAGACTCGACTTCTCTTGTTGCCTGCTCTTGGTCTACTGCATGTTGCGTTGCCTTTGACTGCCGCACAAGACGCGTTATCAGAAATCCAAGCCATTGTCCAGCCGGTGGCGCTCTTTGGTGGCAACGAGTGGACCGACCCTGCTAACTACCAGGCGAAAGCCATTGCGTGGCTCGAATCCGACCCCGTTTCTGCTAATAATAATAATAATAATATTGCAGATGCAAGAATCCAGCAACGGTATGCTTTGGCGTGCATTTACTATGCAACCTTTGCAGTCCCAACCATGTACACAGTAGCAGAACCAAGAGGGTGGATCGATGCAACAGGGTGGCTCAGTGATGCCGACGAATGCACTTGGTTTGGACTCACTTGCAATGACAACTCGGAGGTGGAAAAGATTGCCCTGGTACGTACCGGTACAGTACCCACAACTTGTGACAAAAATGCCTGAATTCTGTGAAACTTTTTAATTATTAACGGTATAATGACTTGCATTGGCAGGGCGTGAACCGGCTGACAGGAACGTTTCCTGCAGAGACGGCCATCATGGCCTCTTCCATCACTCACATTGACCTATTCAGGAACTATGTCCACAATGCTGGAGATGCAGGGAATGCATGGATGGGACAGCTCACAAACCTCACTCACCTGTACTATGGACAGACAAACTTTGAGTACGATGGTATTCCACCACAGATTGGTCAACTCACCAACCTGATTGAGTATGATTGTTCCTTCACACGCTACTTTGGGCCCCTGGCGGGATCCACTTTTGCACCCCTCCAAAATCTGGGTAAGCATGTGCACTCGATTATTCAACACGGAACCGCCTTCCAACTCTTGCTTATTTTAAAAGTTTTTGCTAATCTTTCTTTCTGTTTCGTTTCTACTTTTCCTGGATGTAGAATACCTGGTGTTGACTGCAAAGTTTTCAAAAGTGATCGAACGACTTCAGGTGATCGTATTTCGACGACCTCTAAGTAAAATCCAACGCACTAAGTATCGAAGGCGTGCTCGCGTCCGTACCGCTAACCGGTGAACAAAGAGTGAAAAGTGTGACACCAAATTCTGGATTCGATTCGGCATGAAGAAAAGAAAATCCTTCCTCTCACAACAATTTCGAAACCTGCTCTACCGATCACTTTCGCTGTCGTTGACGACAACTGTCGACCATGACGGATACTTCCGACTTCACGCTCTCCGTAATCACCAACGCGGAAGATGAGGACCTTGCCGCCAACACCTACATCGATCTAAGAGATAATAACAGCGCCAGCAACAAGACCTCTGCAGCTATCAAGCAGTTCAATCACTTCCTCACCGGATACTGCCATTCGAAAGGTTACGAAGGCATAACCCGCGCCGACCAGTTACCCTATGAAGGATTGGAAGGTATCCATGGCTTCAACCGGTATGGAACTGAACATCACCAGAAATGGTGGAGCGATCTCATGGGCTGCTTCTTCAACCACCTTGCCTTCAATGCGTACAAGTATCTGAATAAGAAGAAAGGTCTAATTGCCTACGATAGTGCAACCGGGTATGCAAGTGCAATCAAAGCCTACTTCCAAAACAAATTTCGCTATAAGCAGCCTATCCTTGTTTTCACAGACCCGTCATGGAGGAAGCTTCGCAATCTACTCCTCTCCAAGTTCAAAGAAAGAGCCCGCAAAACCGGGAACCGCATCAGCACTTCCAAGATCGCTTCAACCAATGACGACAGGCTGGCAATGGCCAATGCATGCTTCTGGTTGGGAACGTCGGATTCCGCAGAATTCCACAATCTTAATACGTCAGCATACCATTTGATCGGAAGAGGTCGTGAAGTTTCAATCCTGAAACCAACAGATCTCAGCCTCGTCAATGCAACTGAACGTCATCACAACCGTTATTTGATTTGCGTTTCTGTCCAGAGAGATAAGGGAGGAGAACTGCAACATTTGAATCTCTACCCCCATCAGTACTCCGTCCACCAAGACCCTTATTTCTCCCTGATCTACTCCCAGTTGGTGGGAGGTTGCGGCAGACCCTATCTATTTCCCAAGTTCAATCGAGAAGCCGTTGTTGTCGACAGGAATGACAAGACAGCGTCCAGGGTAGCAGCTTTCTGGCAGCTCTGCTTCAACAACCTCTACAAGGAATTCAAGTCCTTGTCTGAAACACTCAATGAAAAGCTGACCTGCTATCACGGCCGCAAAGGCGCCAGTCAATTACTGGCCGAATCAGACTCTGGTGGTTTGGCTCAGGTCTTCAGAACGGTCAGTGTAAAAAAGTGTTCCTTTCAGTTTGGAAAACCAGGCCCTGACATTTACTTCTTTCTTTCTCCGATCAGGGTTGGGAGCTTCGATCCACACACTCTCTCTTTGACTATGTGTTATCCAGTAAGACTTTGACAAACAAAGCCGGCAAAGCTTTGAGCGCATGGACGGAAGCCTCCGATGTGCTACCACCAACCTTAAAGTCGATTCGAACGAGTCCCGAGTTGGTAGACGGGTTTGTCCTGTCCCTGTTTGGTGAAGACCGCGATGAGCTGTGGCCCAGCAGCATCCGGAATGTATTGACAGCTTCTCTGCTGAGATTCTATGACGACTTTGTGTATGCCATTGCTCAACACCCTGATAACAGGTACGATGATATCACCAGGCATCCCTTGATCAATAGCGTCAACCGCTCCATCAGATTCTCCAATGCCAACCATGAGATCTTCACCGCTTGGTGCAAAGAGGTTCGACAAGGCTTCCTGACGGAGAATTTCCTGGCCATTCCACCCGAGTTCATATCACCAAACGACCGCCTGGACATAAAAGTCGACCCCCGCTCCCTGTTTGAGCATTACTCCCGACTTATCTCACAATACAACAGCCTCTTTCAACAGAAGATGGTCCTAGAAGATGATGTCAACCGTCTACGTGCTGATGTTGCAACGCTGACACAGAGTGTACAACGCCTCGAGAAAACCAATGCCGATCAGAATGATATCCTGTCCAGACTAGCCAATGTACTCGAGATCAAGTTTGACAAACAGACGAAGAAAGCAGCCCCTCCCCCTCCCACTGATACCATGTTCTTCTCTGATAGCAGGAAACGTTGGAGGAGCGATCTCTCTATTGATGAACAGTTCGTTCGTTATTTCACTGACAACTGTCTCGAAGGCTGGGAATTAGAGAAACAGAGTTCGGACTGGCCGAAGAAGTCAATGTCCGAGAAGAAGAAACTCGTCGGTCAGTACAGGCGATTGAAGAAGGTAATCAAGACCATGTTGCTCTTCTGTGATGAATACCCTCCGCGGGTACCCCAATCCCCTGAAGAGTTGGCTCCGTGGCAGAGGAAACTCTCTGCCCTAGCAGAGAAAGCGAAGAAGAACTTAGAAGAGGAATTGGACAAAAAACCTCTAACCGCGGGCTATATCATGGAGTCGCCAATCGTTAAACAATGGGAAAACCCCAACAGCGCGTTGGTCAAGGCCCCCCCAAAATCCACCCCTAGCAGCGCCATTGCGCATTTTGGATTCAACAATAGCTAGAATAAAAATAACTACCCTTCTTCTCTTTTCGTCCCTCCTCACTCGGTATCATCGGCATCATCGGTATCGGCCTCATCCCAATCGATCGTTCCATCCGCGTCAGAAGGGAAATCGATCATATCATCGATCGTATCATCATCACCGTCATCGGCACCGTCATTGTCACCGCCATCGGCACCGGCGTCATCGGCGTCATTGGCAACATCATCCATGTCGTGGTTAATAACCTCGAAAGGAAGCTCAAATAAAGCCGTCAAAGCCGTGATGAATTGGCTACGCAGCCATCGGTTGTAAAACTTGTTGAAGTAGCCTTCACAGATCTGACCCTCTCCGTTAAACCACTTCACCTGTAAGAAATCACTCTCCCCCTCGCCAAGAAGATGGAACTCAACCTTCACCGCGGTGCTAAGATCCTTAGCCATCACAGCGTTCAAAGGACGCTCAATGTCTTCATGAATGTTGATTTCGTGGTAGTTAATATTAGCCATGGTTGGTATTGCTCTTGCCCGAGTTGTGGCTCTGTTACGGTGTCGGTTCCATCAATTTCGTCGTCCACGGTAACCACTCCACGGTAACCACTCCACTCACGGTGGTTTCTCAGTCGTTGAACTAGCCAGGGTTCTCGTTCGGTTCACGCCTGACACGCCCTTATTTAAAATTTAATTTAAAAAAAAAATCAATCGTGCATTTTTCAGTAGTGATTCGGATGTGAGTAACCAGCGCACCCGGCGCGTATTCAAATTCAAATTTTGAAGAATCGGAGTCGCTCTTGATGTTCCGAGTTGCTTTGCTTCACCATGTCTCACCATAAATTCCTCCCTCCGTCTTTGCCTTGTTGTTAGCAAGGTCCTCTCTTGAGAGGTGACCCACAATGGCAACCCGCAAAGTGAAACCTGCAACCCGCAAAGTGAATCGTCCTCAAGTCCACCGTGATAAGAAGCTTTGCAAAAGGGTTGACGCCAAAATGCGTCAGTGGTTGGATCAAAAGAAGTTAAGCTTAAAGATGTCTTTTTAGAAATTAAAATAGCCAACCTATTACTCTCTCGATTCCAACCATCATAAGTAGCATGAGTTGTGTAAGCCACGAACAATACATCAATCGGAAGATTAACAGATGGGCTATTCATCGACTTGTAGGTAAATACCAAGAGCCGAATACATCTTCTGCTAAAAGTCATGAGCACGACATCAAATATACCGCTCTTACATTGTACAATTCCATTATTGACTCCCTCCGAAAGGGACGCCTCTGCAATCTCTCTTTCATTGACACTGTCACTACAACATCCTCTTTTATTGATGAAACTACGTTAACAAGGGAGAAACTTGGACATTTTGAAACAACGATGAAAGATGACTTGAGGCGTTTCTATTTCACAGACGACGGTTACCCTTATCACGCAAGACTGCCTACAAAGGCCGACACGTTCAAACGTTTCTCTTCGAAGAAAACAAATGCGGTGAAAGACACTGCACTGACCTTCGTCATGGAGATGTATGAACAGGATCAAATGGATCGTAGAGATGTTGCCAATGAGATTCGCGAAGCTAAAGAAAGACCAGAGGGGGGTCCGAGCGTAGCGCGTTTAGACAGGTAAAACCCTACCCATAAGGTTAGGGTTTTATCCGAGTCAAAACTATTATTACCCCCTCTGGTCCCATCATTCTTTTGTACTGTTTTACTATAGAAAAAAGGATGAAAAGGTGGACCGCGCGCCAGCCGACCTCGGTCCACCCTTTCAGAGTACTCTTTTTTCTATAGTACTTTTTGAGAGTGGACACCCCTTATGTTTTCGTTCCCCTTAAGGGTGTGTCATCAGAAAAAATATTTAACGACCAGTTCCCCTAAGCCTCCGCGGCGAATGAGCGGTACCACCCTACCCTTAACAATCCAGTGTCTCCAATGAATGATGGCCGCTACAAACTAACTACTCTACAAACTCTATTGTTTAACCCGTTAACCCGTTAACCCTAGTCTATTCGATAGTTTAACCCGTTAACCCTAGTCTATTCGATAGTTTAACCCGTTAACCCTAGTCTATTCGATAGTTTAACCCGTTAACCCTAGTCCAGTAGTACCTGTTAACCCTAGTCCAGTAGTGACTCATATTATTCGAATCATGAAATGGGAAGACTCAACCAAGTTTCTATGGTACTGTAGGACGAATCGTAAAGATTTCGAGAATATGCCTGCAGTCGATCTAACTGGATGTCCCATACAGGACGTGGATGCAAAGTGGCAACACAAGCGAAGCTGGGTACACATATTAGATAGACCGAAAACACCTCAATCTAAAATGCAATTAACTCCATCTCGAACCTCATATTCAATGACCGTTAAGCCATAGTTGGGCACGAAAGACCGTCCCATAATAAGAATAGCAGCTTCAGGATCCGATCTCACGCTATCTTCGCACTCAGCCTCAGTATAGCCAGGATGCAATGCAAAATGCATTTGGTTGCAGTAAGGGCACCTATATCTAACCTCCCCCTTCTTCCTTAGAGCAATAGGAACACCGTAAAAAGTCATCAACCTTCCCCTCATTTCCTCCAAGGACTCTTCTGACTCCTGTCCCGGTTTGTGTCTTTGCTCCACCGACTTTTTCTCCTGACTCGATGACTTATTCGACTCATGTCCCGCCAAGTTTGATTCCTGTTCTGACTTATTCGACTCCTCCGACTGCTTGGCCTCCTCGTCCTTCTCGTCCTCCACCTCCTCCACGTCTCCTTTTTTCTTTACTAGATGCTGAATAAGCCTGGGTGTCGCCATTGTCCCCGCCTCCTCCTCTACTAGACTATTTAGAATTGTTTCGATGCTATGCATTTTATTCCTAGCTCCTAGATAAAAAATGATTGTGATCACTTGCACGAATTGCTCCTTGAATGACTATCTGACAATGACTAAGTTCATGAAACGACCGTTCGTGACTGAAGCATTCTTAACATTCGGACAAAGGATGCTGCAACTCGTTTGTGTGATTGATCCTAATGAAGAAGTAAACACCTCAAACTGGTTACCCCCTGATTGCACGATCCAGGTAATCGAAGACGACGAAGAACTCGATCAAGCCATATCGATTGATGGCTGTCTTCTAATCGCGATGTCAGGGGCCGAGTTATTGCAATCCAAAAACTTGAAACACACCTTAAACCGGATCGGCGATAGATTAGGGCTGGTGCTATCAGCAACCTCTACCTTAATCGAATAAGGAATTACTAATTTAATTAATAAAATTAGTAAATGTTCCTAGCTAGTAGTATCCACAATGAAGAAAGACAGGAGGAACGCGCTGCTAAGCGCGCCCGTATTGATTAATAATCATGATAGCACACTTGTCTGTTGATTTTTTTGTATCTGAAGTCATCCCCCCTATACCTTTCCCAACTTCGTATACAAGATACAAAAAAATAAGGTTAATACGGTACGAGTGTTACTCTTGAGTAGCTTACGATCGCAAAGCGAACAACCCGGCAAGAAATTCCAGCGTGTTCCAATGCAGGATCGCAAAGCGAACAACCCGGCAAGAAATTCCAGCATGTTCCAATGCAGGATCGCAAAGCGAACAACCCCGGCAAGAAGTTCCAGCATGTTCCAATGCAGGAGCGCATCATAACCCTTAAGTCCACCCAGTCAGGGATCGCACCCGCTAACCGGTCAAAGACTTAGAGTCGTGTCACAGATGCGAACTCCCATGATATCTAGGGTGCGAGTTATGGATGTGGCGGTAAGGCAGGCTCGGTCGACTTGGTAATTAGGCAGTTAGCGGTTATCTGGGATAACCCCCGGTCCACTGCTTCCACCCAGGAGTCTCACGAGGTCATCCCCGCACACCATACAAATAAACAAGTTACCAATCTGGAAATGCCTACAATAGTTCCATCCCGGTTGAGATTGGGGAACTTCCAAATCTTCGTAAGTAAATGGCACACTCATACCTTATGTAACTAACGGTTGACACCGTTCCCTCCCTCCCTCAACATCTCGTGGTGCTTTTATTACTTATTTTCTATTGCAGAGTTTCTCTACGCCGAGAACTCCTTTGTCGAGGGTGACTTGTCCTTCATGGAGCCAATGCAATCGATTGGTACGCATTTCATTTCATGAAAGAAAATGGATGGATGCAGCTCTGCAGTGGCCCCGTGGTGCTCACCTTCAAATTTGACTTACTTGCATCTCTTTGCTGCTCGCACGTACGTTGGATTCAGTGGAATGCTGGGTGGATCAGAATCCAGGATTAGGTGGTACTATTCCAACAACCATTGGGAATGTGCAGACACTTAGTGAGTTTGTTTGGTTGGCAGTAGTGTTGTGCCGTGTCTTTGACGGACGGAGTTTGCCTGTGCAAATCTTTCTCAGCCGTTTCCTCAAATGCTGCACATCCCTATCTACAGAAAGTTGGTCCATCAGCAGATGTGGATTCAATGGTCCTATCCCTTCCGAGCTAGGAAATCTAAAGGACATGGGTAAGTCGAGTCAAGCCGCATAGTTTCATTGCTGCTTCACGAAACACCTCACGCTACCTGATCTTCGGTTTGTTGCCTGGAAACTAATTGTGTAAAGTGCGAATGTGGCTTTATGATAACATGTTTACAGGAGCTGTCCCAGAGGCCCTGGGTGACCTGTTCAAGTTGCAAATGTTGGAGTTGGAAGAGAACCTTCTTACATCAGTAATGCCCCAGTCCATTTGCCTTAACCTTGAGCCACTTGGTTTGCTGGCAACCTTGGAGGCTGATTGCAGTGGAGGTGGCTCAGGAATGCAATGTGACTGCTGCACTTGCTGTGAATCCTGTAGTAGATAAATTCAAACAGAATCATGTTACCCCTCTCGACAGTGGATACTTCTACGTACCGGTACAGTGCTTGGATGAATGGATTCAATTCGTTGAAATTACAGACCTAATTGGCAGTACGGTATTATGTGGAGACGAAGGGGCTGGCAATGACACAGCAGACCAATCCGACACCACAGCCAGCTTGGGGTTTTGCTCCCGTCAACAGGGACAGTGTTACACTTGGACAGGCTTTTGAGATATGGTCCCTCTGAACGGCAAGCTCGTCTCTGGTCCCCGGCTAACCCTATACTTTGATTTCAAGGAGTGACTGAGACTCAGTCTGGTCCAACTATCCACCAGTATTGTATCTTTTCCTCGCTCCCTCGCTTACATGTCCGTCGCTGAGACCAAGGATGGACCATCAACGCTTCTTTTAGGTAACTCTGCCGGATTGAGATTCTGATCAGACGTGCAGCCTCATCCGTGTTGTTTCAGGTTTCAGGCCCGCACATCATCGGGTTCCAAGCAGCTCCGTTCCCTTCCCACGGAATCCATGTCGGGGCGAGGCCTGGCTCTTCGGTTACTCACAAAAAGTTTACCTTGCTGATTGCCATGGTCCCGTCGTTGGCTGCAGTGTTGCTGCTCACCACAAGTTGGATTCTTGGCCAACATCCCCCATCATCGACCCCCGCTACACGTACGCATACACCAGGCATGAATCGGATTACGTGCAAACTCGTGAACTACGCGGATCCAGCGCAAGGTCAGAACCTCGTTCGACTTTTGAATGCTTACGCGATGGATCCCTTGGGCGGTGGAACTCCACTTACTGAAACCGTGCAGAAGAACCTCCCATCTCGACTTGGCGCCGTTCCGCACGCGTTTAGCTACATTGCTTACTGTGGCGAGGAGAATGGTGATACCGGAACTCCCGCTGGATTGATCAACTGTTTTGAAGCCTTTTCTACCTTTGCCTGTCGTCCTTTGGTCAATGTCCACGACGTTTTTGTCCTTGACGAATTCCGAGGCCAGGGAGTCAGTCAAGCGCTCTTGAAAGCTGTTGAGCAAGAAGCTCAGAAACGTGGCTGTTGCAAGCTAACTTTGGAGTGCCTAAGCAAGAACCAAATTGCATTGAAAGCATACGAGAAGAGTGGTTTTGGCAGCTACGAGTTGAACCCAGAACACGGCGTGGCGCTATTCCTAGAAAAGAAGCTATACTAATAAGTAGCAATTGCTTGCCAGTCTTTGTGTGCTTAGTAAAATGCAGCCAACAAATGATAACCAGACTCCTCCGATGAATGGTCTAACTAAGTACAACGAAAGGATTCGAATCTTCCAGGTATGTATAACACGGGCTGTATAAAGTCACCTTTAGAAATAGGACCAAATTCTGAGCAGCTCAGACAGTCTGCCCAACAAGCCAACCACAAACCAAACCAATGAATAACCCACCATGCAATGAAGAAGGAGCATCCTTCGCAGTCTTTCTCCTCCAAACAGACATTTAGGTGGCCGCAAATTCTCTGAACAAGGGATCGATCCAGTTCCCATTGCCTCCAACGGCTGGAGCCTCGATGACTGATCCACCTCTGGACGTGACCTGTTGGACAAAAAAGCTCAAAGATGCTCTGATTTGTGCCTCCGCCACACCAAAGTATACGGGGAAAATGGTGACATCGGTTCCTTCGAATTGGTACAAGTTGCACAGGTCAAACCAGTTCGATTGGAAGTACGAGTTTCCGTTGTCAATCCGGATGTTTCTGTATACCTTCTTGTCGGTACCTTCCAGGACAAAATTAACTGGAACTTTGAGGTCGCCGCTGTCAAAACCAGTCGGCTGGAGCAAACAAAAGAAGCGATTGGGCCATCTGCCGCGGAACGCATTCCAACTGGCTTGGATTTCGTCGGCACTGGCAGAAGTCACGTCTGCAACCGCCACGACACCCAGAATTTGATTAATGCCATTTGGCCCAAGAGTCGGGGCTGACGAGGGAACCTCTGTAGGGGCGTTGCAAGCTGCAGTGACTTGGTCAAATGCATTTTGAACGTCCTGAACGAGCGTCGTAGATGCATCTAGCGCTGCATATCCAGCCCGGAGTTCCTCAAAGCCATTAATATATGTCGCGCCGACCCTTGCAACAATTGGGACAGCTGCAACAGCCAGCGCATCCCACCTTGAGGCTCCACCGAATGGGATTCGACCAATCCAAGCAATATCAAAGTAAGCGGACATGCCTTCTGCATCAAAACCGGCAATGACAGCGTTTGCCCATTTTTCAAAAGTGCGACCAGGCGCTTCCATGAACTGTATGACATAGGAAATGGCCAGCGCAATCTCCTCTGGAGTATCAAGCATCCGGTAGTCCTCGATTGCATTATTATTATCGATTACGCCGAAGTCGAAGGCACTCTTTTCGAATTCACTGGTTGCAGTTACGTTTGGAGTTCCATCAAGTACAGTCGCAGCTCCATCTGGCGGACGCAGGAAATTGACTCTCATGAGAATATTGAACAGTTGTGTCCCCAAGATAAATGCTCGAGTGTAAGCGGCAATGCAATCTGTGGAGAGACTCCTGGGTGGGCCCTGGGCAAACACGTTCATGACACTTTCTAGCACCACAACGTCTGTCAAAAGAGGATTTCGGGCGTAAATGCGGACCAGATTGGTGAATCCACGAAGTTCTCGAATGGCAACCAGGACGGTTCCAATGTCGGTCTCGACTTCTTCCAAGAACTCGCCGACCATGGATCTCTCGCTAGCAATCAAGTTGCTCAGTTCGGTGATTTCATCCAATTCATCAAGCAAGCAGTATCCAATGGTCTGATCAAAGAAGCTTGGCAACTCGACTTCGTCAAGGGCACGGGAGTGCTCAGAGACCACACTCGCGCAAGACGCGGACGGAGACAGCCATGCCAGAGCCGACAGGAAGAGGACGCGAGGAACAGGCATCTTCATGGTGCCCCTATCTTACGATCGATATATGTATGTATGTATGGCTAATAAGCTACCAGTATGGTTGGTGGTACTGGTATTAGTTAGTACGAGCAATAATGGGCCAGCAAACCAAGTGAAGGGTTGGTTTCCTTCTGATATACTGTAGACTTCGCAAGCATCGTCCGTTGCGGGAGCATAGCACGCTCAAGTTGCTGTCACATAGACAGGTTCCAGTCCGAGAGCTTGAGTAGCTAAGGTGAGGAATCCTTTTCGGCGATTTTGTATCATAGGAGTTGTTCGGTTGAACGGCGTCCTTGCTTGCTTTTGGTTTGCGGGCTACGACTCTACCAGAACCAATCGAGTTCAAACACTTGATCGACGCGGTCCTCGTAATCGAAAATTGAGTCAAGTGAGTCGATTTGAGGTTGTGTCGCATCGAGGGGAAGATTTATTTGACAGAATGGGGACATACTACTCTAGTAGTCAATTTATTATTTGTTATTACGGTTACCCAGCTAGCTAGTACAATCAGGGGGTAAAAAAGAGGGGGAAACACGAGTGCGTGCAGCGTGCAACTGGACTGTGTCGTCTTGCGATTTGATAGACCGCTCTCTAGCTAGCTAGCGCCTGATACTGCCACCAGAGCTAGCGGTACCACTAGCAGTCCGGTAAAAGACAAAAGACATTCAGCCAACCAAGCTAGGGTTGCCAGTCCCAGGTAGCTCAAAGCCGCCAGTCCATACAACCACTGGGAGCCTGTATTCAAGATCCCTCGAAAGAACTTCAAAAGCAGTGAAAGAGCATGGGGGATGCCGTCATCGTTGTAGTACTCACAGGCACTAGAGGACACTTTGGTGCAGAGCAATCGAAACGGTGCTAGGGCCAAGTGCGAAATCGACGTAGCCTCGACGAATGGAAGGTTGATGCCCAATTCGCCCAATGAAACATACGACGAAGCAATGATTCCATCCACAACAACAGTGCCATCCGTACTGAAGGGAGCAAACATGCCTCTTCGTTGCACGGGTTCGATATGGACCACTCGTGCACCCTTTCCGTTTGGGGTTTCAAGCAGATCCCCAACCCGGATTTCCTCAGCCGCAAAAGGTCTATACCCAAGGCTTGCAGATGATTCGATAGTGGCCCTGATACGGTCTCGCTTGCTAGCATACACATAATGCCTTGGTGAAATCTCTAGATCATTACTTGTTGTGGCGTTTCCAGCCAAACTTTCATCGGAGAGGGAGGTTTTGATTTTTAGAAACGTTGTAGGGGTTGTCGTGTCGTGATGGCCAAAGGCGTAGACAGACTTGTACTTGCCCGTAGATGTCAGAACCCGGTCGCCCACTTGTAGCTCTGCCATGGAAGTTTGACCCTGGTTCAACACGTCCACTGTACTAAGACTGGAAAAGCAAGAGTACATGGGGCCGCAGAACTGCTGGGTACAATATTCACCACAAATGCCACAACTCGGGTTGCAACAAGGAGTACCCGCAGCACAAATGTTGATACCACAAACTTCCTGCGCATGGCAAACGTTTCTAGCGCATTGCAGCAACAGCAAGGCCATGCCAAGAAGGAGACTGTGCAGTCTGTTGTTGCCACAAGTCGTCGTCATGGTTTACTTGTAGCCTCTTGATTTTGGAGTGCGGAAGCTAGCTTGAATAAAACTATAGTCAACTATAACTTATGAATCATCATCATCATCTCTGAGACACGCACAAGAAAGCATAGGTGAACCGAATCATGGACTAGACCTGCATGGTGGCTTCGCATTTTGCTGGTACCGCAAGATAAGTCCAGAAGCTGGAGAGAAAAACATTATCAGTTTCGCCGGACTGATGTTGCTGGCATATTACCAGCACACAAGTTGTCCACAGGAGCTAGCTTTACCCTGACCATATCGTCAGTGCGGTTAGGTTGCAAAGGTGACCCACTAACTGTAGCCCGCCTCAAAGGTTTAGATGGAGAAGATCATCAGTCATCCACACGTACTAGTATCCCGTTGGTCTCGAGATCAAGCTGACGGGAGCAAGCTGCCCAGCCCAGTACTAAAGGATACTATTGCTGTACCAATCTTGACGCTGTCGACATTGTTGTCGTTTCAGTTCCCGTGGGAGTGCAATACCTTTATCTCTCCTCGACTGCTATGCTTACACGACGGGCCCACTTGCTACTTTGATGAATAGTCCCTCATCCAACCGCGACGCCCCAATATTTGCCTTGCGCCAGTCTGCTGCTTGCATTCGTGATCGTATTCTTCTTTGCGTGGTCAGACAGATGGAGACTCCTCCAAGCCCAATTCCCACCTCCAAGTGTGATTTCATAGTAGCACCAGCCCCGCCCCCAGTGAGGCAGAGTCCTGTCGCATCATTGTCCCCAGTTGCATTATAGTCAATCAAAGTCAAAGCAGGTCAAGAGGATTGTTCAAGTTACTGAAGCGGAGCATTGCGACAGGGAGCGAGACGAGACGGCATTGACTCCCACACGACTGCAGCGGCAGTCCTGCGCAACAACTCGATCTGGAAAAGCAAAGCAATAGAACCAGAAGAAAAAGAAGATCTTTAGAAGACCAACGAGTTTGCAGAAAACGGACAATGGATCCGCCTTTCATCCAAGCCGGGCTACCAGGTACCGCAGGGTAGTGCGTCCCGGTAGTTGGCTGGCAGCAAGCAAGTTCTGCAGCTCTCCTGTGAAGCAAGGAGTGCTACTGTTCAAGTGAGATCCCGTGTCCAGTGGCTGCCATGCTGCCCGTGCGTTTGACATTGACTTCAATTCTAGCTAGCTAGATTGCACCAAGTCAAAGCCGAAGCTAAAAGACGATTATTTTGCCTACGAGGACCAAAGGAAAGCACCTTAGAAGGTGGAACGCACGAGTAAGGATCGCACAAATTGATGCCTTTTAGAACTGCCAAAGTGGGCAACGGTCAAGGAGGCAGTTCAAGAAGTGTCTCGTCCCGGCACAGGATTGGCTGAATCTTCATGTAGCAGCACCGAACAGGGTCGTGCCAAAAGGTGTGATAGCTCAAAACATTAAGGTCTTGCGCTGCACTCTTGAGTTCAAGTTGTCCTTGCCTGACTCCTGGCTGACTCCAGCAACACTCCAGCAACATCCTGGGGTGTCCTGCTCTAGCTAGTAGCCGGCTGCGCGGGAGAGTTCCCAACAAGCAAGGGTGAACGTAGTCTTGCCGGTACGAAAGATTGATGCAGCGGGACAACTTGAATTTCAACATGCAGCCCGTTCCTCATACGGTAGTACGTGCGGCTATTCGGGCTTCCATGCTTCGACAGCATGCAGCATGGTGAGGCTGGTTGGTATGTTCGTGTGGCTCGTACGGAACCAGCGCGACTTGGCAGACATGATGAAATCTCTGTCATTATAAAAATCATTAGTTAGATTAGACATGGACATTTTAGGCTTGTTTTGGTGAATCCTGAAACATGAAAAACTGCTTTTCACTGGCACTGTCTATGTTTCCACGTTTCCACTGGGAAGCATTGGAAGTACTGCTGTGACACAGGGTAGTTGGTGTACAACATGGTCTATAGTGTGACCCAGGAACTCAGCGGATGCTTTCCTAGTGCACTGCACTCAACTAGACTAGCCAGCCAGGATTGATTTTGCGTTCCACTCGAAGCTCACAAAACCAAGGAGTTGGAGCGCAAAAGCAATTTCAAAGAATCAACTACATGTACAACTAACTAACTAGCTAGCTAGCTGGAACAAAACACTACGAGCTCATGGACTCCCCAATGAACTGTCTGCTTGAACTGAACTATCAAATGGCAGCCATGATGGTGAATGGAAATACTCCTCAAGCCTACTCCACAGTGCTGAACAAGACTATGCACGTCATACAAGCTATGGTAGGATCTTTGCGCAACAGCGAAGCCCTTCACGGGGATCACGAGTTGACTGTCACTCAGGAGCTTCTCAGTAATCACCGAGAGCTGTGCTACTGCTTTGTGGCCATTGGTGGAGGAGCACCTTCTGGTATGGGCAATAATTGTACTAGTACATGTACTGACACGGACACGGACATGGAATCTTGCGCAGGTTTATTGACCTTGTTTGACCGGGTCGTCCATGCTCCACGAATTCCAAACAACGCGCCTATGGGACGCGAAGCGTTTGAGAAAGTGTCGTTGGGACGTCAGATCAAACTCTTGCTCCTGTCAATGTATAATGTGGCTCTCCTGCTTCACAAGGAGGGTATGAGGACCGGGGTTTCCAAACTCTTGCACAAAGCAGTTCAATATTACCGCATGGCGCTAGATATGCTCCTAGTGGCCTCAGAAAATAATCCCTCTCAGTTGCGTGACGATTCCAGAGATATCATGCTCTTTTTGGGGCTTCTGAATAACCTGGCCCATGTGCATGCCATCCTAGCCAGCTATGACCAAGTCGAAAGGTACCTTACCGAAATGAGCCGTATCATCAAGGCCATTATGAAAGAACCACAAGTGCTTGATGATTGGGATGAAAACGTCATCGAGTTGTGGTATCTGGCGGCTATTCAGTCCATCGATTGCAATTGGTTTACACTGGCGTCTGCTGCCTAATAACGAACTTGAACTACTAGTACATTTACATCTATACGGTATGATAGGCTGACTGGCTGATTACAGTTCTAGCTAGATGCACACATTCATCATGCCACTTTTGCATGCTGCTCGCTCTTTGGACTCGAATGTGGTCCGTGTCTTGGTTCTACTTTACCGATGCAACCGACATATACCTTGCACGAGGACGAACGAATCCTCGCCTTTGAGACTCGAACACGAACGGTCGACAAACAGCACCATAGCACCATTGTCAATGGCATGGGAGAACAAACAGCAGGAAAGTTAGTGAAAGACTTGCAATACCCGAGCAGGAACTGCAAGACTGCCAGTGGGTATCAGGACGTTATTTTGGCGGGGTGGCATCTAATTTTCTCATACAGTAACTCCCTCTGTTTCAATAATGCTGACTTTGTACCAGTGTACATGCATGTAGAATCTAGCCTTTTCAATTCTAAAATTAGTACAGTTTCATTTCAAATTGAGTCCCACAAAATGGCCACAGGGGCGCAGCGCCGGCGCAGCGCCGGCGCAGCACCCCTTTTGTGGGACTCAATTTGAAATGACACTGTCATAATTTTGGAATTGAGAAATCTAACTCAGTCTTGACAAGACTCACCTGAGTCAAGAGTAAGGTACCTACCCCTAATCAACAGCTACGGTACCAATCATGCTTGGTTGACTTGAATTTGGGTGCCCATTGAACATCTCAACTAGCTATACTAAACAGTGCTTTTCAGGCGATAATTTTATTTTATGTATTTGGCGGTGACCAAAGGTGCTCTGTCTGTGCCTTCGCTGTTGTGAAAAAGTGCGCTTGGTTTCTTATTACTTATTGCTCGATTCCTACTGGAGCCAGGAGGATCTTGGAGAAAATTTCGCAAATAAGCTTAAATAGTCTTTGAATAGTGTACCGGACTTATGAGAATCATCCTTCAAATAAATAGAATTGAAATGAGTTATTAAAAAGGGAATTTCGGGAGCTGTGGGAAACATACCGGTACGTACCAGTCTGGTACATGGTACATATACTCGTACCAGTACTGAGTACTGGAGTACAGAGCACACTCGTACACTCCAAGTCATTAGAAAGCAGAGTAGTCTACGTACGTAAAGCTGCTTGGTCTTGGCACTGTCTTGGCTGGATGGACCACAGGAGAGCAAGTTTCCACCTTACTAACGCCTGATCCAAAGTACAGGCCTAGGTACGTCTAAAGCTTTCTATGTCCTCTACTAGCTAGAGCTATAATAAGTGCTAAGAACGAAGCTGGTGTACGGTAGTAGGCGTATGCTCCGTGGGCTCCTCCTCGGAAATCCGGAGAGGAAGGGCCTTTGAAGCGTTGAACTAACTTTGAAGCTATGCATTAGTCCTCTGTGTCTTGAGAGTCGAGTCACACCGGTCCTGGAGCCAGATTTGCTTTTCATGAAGCTGGGGGGGGACCACTTTTTATTTATCACAACATGCACCGATACTACAATGAACACTGGGTAGTATTTTTGAAGGACTGACTGATTTAATCACCACACCCTTCTTGTTTGTCTTTTGGTACAATGCACGGTGGGTATTAGGCTCCGTACTTGTGTAGAGTGAGCTATTAAAAAATTAAAACGTTTTTTTTTTAAAGTAAAAAAGTAGCTTTGGAGTTATAGAGTTAGAGCGTTAGAGCCGCGGAGACATCGGTTGTCTAGCTAGACGGGTGGTTTTACAGCTTTAACAGATAAGATTGCAGAAAGGAACCATTTGTTCTTTTGTCCATTCTGCTGATTTAACATGAAGATGCCATTTCGAAAGTATTCACAAATTAGCCTTCTTTCGAAGGAGTACTGAATTGTCCATTGCACGATTGCACGCTTCCGAGGCACTCAAGTTCCGTTGAAGGAAAGTAAATTCCCCAACTCCTCCAAACAACTGTGTCTGGGACTGATTAGTCCTGAGCCTGACTGAATCAGCCATGAGTGAGAATTTTGTACAGACTACCTGAGTCCCTATCATGCCAGTATCCTGCCCCAATAAATAAATCCCTTTCCTTACTCGGATTCCTTCCAAGTTTAAAAGGATTTAACTAGGCGTTTGGGGAGTCGGAGAATTGCTCGAACCAATGTCTGACTAAGACTGTCTATGCTAAACACACCTGCTTCAACCCTTGCGCATACCGTTCAGCAATCGTAAACCTATACTGGCTCTCTGAATACATGCAATGTGGTACTGGTAGCTATTGAGGGCCAGCTATTGGGTCATAGCAAAAAATGCATGGCGCGGGAAGCATCCAGAGCTACTACTAGAGAGTGCTACATATTTTTTCCCCTCTTCTCTGAAACCGTTGTCAGCAAGCAAGCAAACAAACAAACATCCACCACCATGAACAATCTGAACATCATTACGCAACTCAACCAAAGCCTGGTGTCGTACATGACAACTGGCGACCACCCACGTGCATGTATTGCAG